CGGATTCACTGAACTGGGCTAAATCACGACAGATGCGCGCAAATTCCATAGCCGGCATGCGTACCACACACGAATATTCCGTTTCCGGAATGCCCAAGTGCTCCTGATCGAGATTCATCAGTTTCATCTCGTAGTCGGAGACCTTTTCCTGATTAGCCGATTCGAACATGATAGTGACTGTGTCCGCATTATCCTGAGCCTTCATAGTCACATTATCCTCGTTGTTGGCACACTTCAGTATCTTTGCCATGCTGCCGAGATTCATGCCCATGGACAGATTACGATCACAGCGGAACTTATCAAAACCATCAGATCTCAGCGTCAGTGAAACAAGCGATACATGGGAGTTGTCCATTGCCTGAAGCTGCAAGCAGAACATGCAATCGTTTAGAAATATCAGACACATGAGCAAAGCTTCCTTTTCTTTACCTGTATGCCCGAATCACTGCAGTCGAAGGTGCCTTCATTAAGCAAATCCTTGATTGCGTCAAGGATTTTCTTCAGTGTTGTTGCTTGCCCCAAACGTGCCTCAAACATGATTGCTGTTTAATTTAAATTGTTCTTGTGGAATGCAATTTTTGTAAATTTGATCAGCGCGTTTGTGCGTTGGTGACTTTAATGAATTCCTAGCCGCGGCAAAACTGGCGTTTTGGCGCGAATAACAGCTGTCAATTGGCCCTAGTCATGGCGTTGCCCAACTGCATAAATGTGTATTGAGTAAAAATAGTGATTGCAGCCCTGGGACATATTACAAATTAAAATTGAATTTATTCCAAATACAATAATGATACACAATTAGGTATTTTGGCATACATTTATTTAATTATATTAATAAATACTGGCTTTGATTGTTTCGTCTTTAGTTTTGATTTTACCATATTCCGCAAGTTATTTATTCCAAGGCCTATAAATAGACGTCTTTTAAAAATTATAATATAATTATTATGTATGTAACTAGGTTTATTACCATGCACGGTCTGCAAAGCTGGTGTTCCCATTGGGTCTAAGCGCATAAAATAGTCCTCTAGAGCCTTATGCTGTCGCATTGCAGCCACACAAACGGCAGGTATGAGCGAAGAAAGATTAAAGTCCTGGTATGGACGGCGACGCAACAATTCGACCACTAGCTGCAAATGACCAGCATAGGTAGCCAGTGTTAAGGCGTTCTGCCCAAAATAATTGATGGCATATATATTAGCTCCAAAATCTAGCAACACCCGTGCACACTCAAACTTGCCAAGATAGCAGGCTTTGAGTAGAGCCGTATTACCGTATTTGTCCAGCTCTTCTATATTGTATTTATGATTACGTGCCAGCGTGCATATGATGCGTAATGACATAACGTCATCCTCGCCAACACAATCGAGTGCTGCAAAATATAACAATATGTAAAAAATATTATATATAAAAAATTTAAATGACATTTACCATTCATTCGCCCAATTACATTCATTGTTTCAAACTGAAAATGATTAACAATAACGGTGCTTTCTCAGGGCCTCCACTTTTATAGACAGCCCTGCGCTTTTGCATATATCGATATTTCGGACGTTGCTCAGCACTGTTTTTCGAAATGTCAATGCCATAAGTGGAAAGACGCAGCACATCCGCTTTCTTTTTCGACTGAATAGTTGTCGCTTAAACAGGGCAAAATGGTGCGTCTGTATATAAATCGTGAAATATCCAGTTAATCAAACGCTAAAAGTAGCGGATTAACGCTAAAAACCCAAATGCATGCCATACTGTGCGTTGTGAAAACAAAATAGTGCATTTTTGTGATATATATGGCTAAATTATTTTGCAATTTTTAGCAGAAATGCAATTTCGGCTTTTGTTGTTTACGCCTTATTCCGGTGCCAATCGACTGAATTTTAATAAACCATTTGTTTTTGCAGTCGCTCGTCATCCCAGAGAAGTTTCAACACATTCTTCGTATCATGAATACGAACATTGATGGCAAGCGCAAAGTTGGCATTGCCATGACTGCCATCAAGGGTGTGGGTCGTCGCTATTCCAACATTGTGCTGAAGAAGGCCGATGTAGATCTAACCAAGCGTGCTGGTGAATGCACCGAGGAGGAGGTAAATATATATTATATACATACTATTATTGTACGCGATTAATCTAATTTTTTGCATTTGTTGAATTGGACAGGTTGACAAGGTTGTCACCATCATCTCAAACCCGCTGCAGTACAAAGTGCCTAACTGGTTCCTTAACAGACAGAAGGATATCATCGATGGCAAATACTCGCAGCTGACATCATCCAATTTGGATTCAAAGCTGCGTGACGATTTGGAGCGCTTGAAGAAGATTCGCTCCCACCGTGGTCTACGTCACTACTGGGGTCTCCGTGTCCGTGGCCAGCACACCAAAACTACAGGTCGCCGTGGTCGTACCGTCGGTGTGTCCAAGAAGAAGTAAGCTAGCGGCTGCTGGAACGTTTCCTGTATTCAGGCTGAAGCTGTTTATGCTTACGATACTTCTGTAAGAACCCCTAAAAAAACAAAAGAAATAGAAAACAACATAAAAATTCGTATGCAAACATGTTTGAGTGAATGGTGAATTTGTAAAAGTTAACCTGAGCAGCTTAACTGGTAAAAAAGTGTATTCCGTACGTTGTAGAATTCGAACAACCATAAAACTATACGGCTCTGAAACTAATTTTTTATATTGGTGAGATGTTAATGAGGACAACACCTACAAACGCTGTTCCTAGACTTAGCATTATAATTCAAATGAGTTGAGTAAATTGTTAACAAAATTAAAATGTCAACGTCGACGGTTTCAGGACAGTCTCAAACTAAGCAAGGATCATGCATGAAGCTGAGGATATTGATTCGCAAGAATATAAGTGTTATATTGGCTCATCCACTAGGAACAGCTATTGCCATTTTAGCTCCGATATTGCTGTTTCTCTATACACAATTTGATCAAATATTTCATAGCAAGAGTGCAACTCAAGTTCACGCAGTTAGACATCCGGCTATCGATATATATGTACCCAATGTAACGTATGTATTTAAGCATGATAATTGGCTCGGTCGTCCTTGATTCTTTCTTAGTTCCATTTTTTATTCACCGATCAACAACGTTCTTGGGAGGGTTGTAGAAGATGTGGCCACGAATTTGGGAACGAAAGATGTCCAGGGATTCTTAGACGCATCTGAATTAGAAGCAGCGCTCAAAAGGCAAAATGGCTTTGTGGGCATTGAATTCGAGGATCATTTTAGCACCATAATGGAAATACCATCTAAGGTCAAAATTGCATTACGGTTTCCATGGCATTTGCGCTCGAAGATTGGGCGGAAATGGCCTAAACGTGTGTACAGGCCACTAGTTGAAAGGATGAGCAAAAGCTTATATGATTTGGAAGGTTTCTTGATTATGCAAGCGAAGCTAAGCGAGGCATTAATTAAGGAAAGAAACGGAAGCGCCCATGTTCCTCAAGTCCACATGCAGCCGTTTCCCGATAGGGAGCAAAAAAATTTCGAATACTTGCTCGACTCTTATAGTACTCTCGTAATGACCTTTACGTTCATATTTATGGGACCCTCCCTGCTTGTTGGCCACGTAAGTAACAAAACAAAAGTAAAACCTACAAAGCTTATACAATTGTCAATAGGATGTATAACTATATGTAAATACTGTGTCCTTAGATGGCACAAACAGATTGATGCAAAGTCCTTTGAGAATCTGCAAGGATATGGCCGAGTTACTGATGTTTTGCTAATATTATGAGTATCACAAAATCAGCTATTACTTGGCTATTTCAAGGACTATCGGGATCCTTGTCCTTGTCTAGCTCATTCAGAGCACGCAATGAAAAGGACGAAAATTCTTCGGGGATACAGGATAAAAGAACTTTTTCAGTAAATTAAATAGCCCATAACTCGGCCGTATCCTTTCATATTTGGACGTATCGTGTGCCAAACAATTCATGTGAGCCAGGGCTATAAACTGGCCAAAGGACATTAAAATCGATCTTGTAGTTTCCAATACATGGCTAATTTTCCAACAGGGACATTCTATTTATAGTCATAACTCGGACACTTCCTTAAGGATATCAAAAGGATATACCTTTTTGAATTCATTGGAAGCAGCACTATCGCATTCAAGGGTTTCCAGGATTGAACCAAAAATTTCACCTAAAATTTCATAGGGGTTTAGTCGCAAAATTGGTTAAAAACCTCCAAAAACCGGGCTAACTTAGCCATTTAAAGGACTCTCGGGTTGTCCTTTGGTCAGAGGGAAGTCTTATACATCCAGATTCCAAATAACCAACAAAAAGGTCGAAAGTCTTTCAGGGGGCCAAGATAATATTGAATTTGTGAGTACAAAAAACGGCGTATAACTTGGCCGCATCCTGGCATATCCTGGCATATTTGGCTTCAAATGAATTGTATGGAGCAGGGCTATCGTCTGGCCAAAGGAGATTAAAATCGTCCTTCTAGTTTCGGAGATGTGAAGGATTGTGTGTTTTTGGCCTAATTGCTTGTGTTTCCAGACTGAAGTTGTTCAAGTCTCGGATCATAACGCACACAGTCCTTTGAAAATCTGCAAGGATATAGCCGAGTTATTGCTGTTTATCTAATAATATGAGTATCATAAAATCAGCCATAACTTGATTATTTCAAATACTATCGTGATGTCCTTTGGCCAACAGATAAATATGTCTTGATCATTCAGATAGTGCAATAAAAAGAACGAAAGTCCTTCAAAGAGCTAAGATAAAAGGACATTTGTCTAGTGAAAATAGGGCGTATCCTTGTGGATCCAGACAAGTCATATGTCAAATCAATTGTGTGGATCAGAGCCATCAATTGGCTATTCAAATTGTGTTTGCTGTTTCTGTGTCCTTGTTTTTAGAGGACCGCATCAGTTGAGAATCTGCAGGGATATGCAGAATTTAAGTTTGCATAAGCCTGAAACGCACCAACCCCCTAGAGTGTGCAGTACAAATAAATAAGTGCTGATTATGTGCACAGCAGAAAAGTAAACAATATATTTTATTGAACAAGTTTATAAATTTAAGTATATGCCCTAAATTAGACAGTTAAGTTTCTGAATTTCTTTTGCTTACCGCGCCGCGTACTAAAAGTATTTAATAACAATCGTCACAGTTCATTCGTTTGAGCCGAAAAGCATTGTCTTCTGGGCAAATCTGCAAATATATGATTGAGTTAGACCAACTATTGAATCACTATTTATATATATAATATATATATATAAATATATGGCTTTATTTTACCCTATTTTACAGCAAATTGTTTCGGAGAAACAGAGACATTTGAGGGAGATAATGCGATTAATGGGGCTCACCGTTGGCTTAAATTGGCTGTCGTGGTTTATAGTCGCCTGTTTATTTATAAGTATACCGATGATGATTTTCCTGGCATTGATGAACTGGTGTTTGTGCCCCGGGTCCAACTTTATGGTGCTGCTGATTATATTTATTATTTATCTACTGACATTAGTCTGTTTTACCTTCGTAATCACCGCCTTTGTTACCAGCACCGTGTTGACCATGAGCTCTATATGTGTTTTGCACTGTGTTAGCTTCATGCCATATTTAATGTTGGGAAGTCAGCCGCGAGAGGGACAGGCAATATTTGTATGCTTGTTTATGAACAGCGCAATGCCTCTAATATTTGTGCAGATTCTTGGCTATGAAATTCGGGGCTTGGGTGTCCAATGGACCAATTTATTCACAACCAGTCATCCCGATGATATAATGAGCATTGGATACATATTGATGATGATGTTGGGCACTAACATATTGCGTATCATTTTATGCTTGTATGTGGATCAGCTAAATCCGGGTGAATACGGTGTAGCCAAGAAATGGTATTTTCCACTTAAACGCAAGTTTTGGTGTCCTTGGGAGCGACCGGGGAGAGAATTTGTGGATGAAGAGCGATCAATTAGCCAAATCAAACGACGAGACGACGATACTTTTGAGGAGATTTTTCACAATAAGCCGGTTATTATGGAGACACAGAATTTATGCAAGTCCTACGGCGACATTGAGGCAGTGCGCGATTTAAATCTGAAATTCTATGAGGATGAGATAACCGTGCTGCTCGGACACAATGGCGCCGGGAAAACGACAGCATTTATGATGCTCGCGGGTATCACCCTCCCCACCTCTGGCAGGGTTCTTGTTAATGGAAACAACATGGCCACGGCCACACGAAAAGCTCGCAAGTCCCTAAGCTTATGTCCGCAATACAATGTACTATTCGATGAGCTGAGCGCATACTGGCATATTGTATTTTATAGCCGGCTTAAGGGCTTCGAGCGTTCGGAAGCTGAAGCGGAGGCAGAACGATATCTGGAAATGATGGATCTAATGGACAAGTCGACAATAAAAGTAGAATATCTTAGTACTGGCATGAGACGCAAATTGTCGGTGTGCTGTGCTCTCTGCGCCAACACTAAGGTGAGTGTAAAACATGAAAGATAACCTATCTTTGGCACGCCGAAGATTAAATACCCTTTATAGAACTATGGCTTACGCCCATAATTGCTGGGTTTCCTACGAACTTGCTTATATCGACTCGGATGCTTATAGTTATCAGAAATATGTATACTTTATGGGGTCGGAGATGTCTCCTTCTTCAAATTTCATGACATTTCGAGCTTCAATTACCTAATCCACAATCTGATTCTGCTTTTAGGTGGTACTTTGCGATGAGCCAACCGCTTGCCTGGATCCATCGGCGCGTCGTGAAGTTTGGAATCTGTTGCGTATGGAGAAAACTGGACGTTGCATTGTCATGAATACGCATTTTATGGAAGCCGCGGAAGTATTGGGTGATCGTATAGCGATCATGTGTGACGGCGAATTATACGGTTACGGCACTGCGGAATTTCTTGTAAATAATCTTGGCCCAGGATATCGTCTAGTAAGATTCATAAATCCAATGCAACCATCCCAATAAACCTCATGTGCATATAGGTTTGTGTGGTGCTAGAGGATTGCGATGATCACGAGGTCACAAAATTTCTTCGCAATCATATCAATGATGCGGAGCTGGAGAGTGTTACGGATACAGAACTAACCTACCGTCTGCCCGTTGAAAGTGTACATAAATTTACTAGCCTCTTTAAGGCCATGGAGAGTAGGCTGGAAAAATTGAAAATTTCAAGTTTTGGAGTCAGTGCACCAACACTGGGTGAGACTTTCATGAAGATCGGCAATGAAAAAATTGGAAGTGCGCGTACATTAGATTCCATGGAACTGACAAACGGTAAGCGAAATTTAAAGTAAATAGAACCGGAACGATGATTATATGTAAACAAAATGTTATGTCCCTGTTACTGTTAATGTGCCTTCCTTACTGTTAACGTGCATCTGCTACCGTTCATGTTCCTCTATTACTTTAAATGTACTCCTGGAATAAATTATTAATCGAAATGTTGTGTAATATTTGTTATAGGAATACCAATATTTTGTTTAGTTATTTACTACTTTAAATATTTTAATATAATTTATTAGATTTACTACATACTTTGCTTCTGTAACACTTAATCCCAATATAGCTTGGGTGTCACAGCCCAGCGACAACCAGGAGTTAAGCGCAACGAAGAAACGGTTAAACGTCTGGCATGGTATGATGATAAAGAAGGTTCTATTCACATGGAGTCATCCGCTCCTGTTTTCCTTTGTTGTATTTCTGCCGTTGTTTGGATTACTGATGCTCGCTGTGTTTGATATAGTTTACACTAGAGATATCCCACATGTGGTTGATCCTAGTAAATTATCGCTGTATCCGGCCCCATTGGTCGTACACGAATGGCTTGTCACTGGCATCCAAGACGGATCTGAAATATTTTATGATAAAAGCAAACTGATCGCAGATGAATATGAGATAATTGCCATGGATGCAGGTGCCACAGCACATGCACTAACGCATCTTAGCGTTGGCAGCTACTTATTAAACAATATTGATTTGAACAAGGAAGGCTTCAAGGAAACCTATGTGGCAGCCACCACATATCGCGATGGCTCTGTTACGGCCTGGTTTAATCGACGTTTAGAGCACGGAGCGCCACTCTCACTGGGTCTGATCTTTAATGCGATTGCACATGTACTGGGGAAAATGGACATAGTGATTACCAATAAGCCGCGTCCCGACTCGGATTCAAAAATCTTTAAAGTCGATAGGGAGCTCACTTCGAGCAGGCGTGCCGTTTTTATCTTAATGTATCTGAGTTTTGCCCTTTCAACATTTATCCTGCTGCCCGTCTACGAGAAAGCGACACAGATGAGAGAGCAACAGTTCATTAACGGCATCGGCTTTTGGACTTATTGGCTGTCCCATCTGGCCTGGGACTTTATTTTTTTTATATTGATAATCATTTCAACACTTTTGTCACTTTATAAACTACCAGGTCAAGTGCTGTACATGTTGGCGATCCTTCTATTTTTCTTTGGCCTGTCCTCACTGACATTCACCTATCTGTTTACATATTTTTTCAATGAAGCCGGCAGCGGAATGTCCTATATGCTGATCATTAACTGCTGTATCGGTAATTAAAATATCAAGCTATATCTCAAATACATATAAGAACATATGATACTAACATTTTTCGATTAACATTTTTCGCAGTTCTGTTATTGCATAACATAATTTTCATAGATAGAAGAAAAAGTGGTCTATGCGGGGGTTTTCGACTACGAAACACCCGAAGTCTAGTTTAACTTAAAACGCTTCCCATTGCTTTGCAATATGAGTAAATGTAATCTTGAATATCTTCGGCATTTACTGTCCGATTTACGAAATTTTCGGGTCATAAATATATCCAACACATTTGTGTTAACTCCGAAGGCTTAGCTCGAGTTGGGTTTTTTTTTTGCATTTTTTGGAAATGGGTGACTTGAGCGAGAACCTTAATACCAAGTTTGGTGTACGTCTTATTTTGGGTTTATACACATTATAAAATACAGATTGGTTAAGGGTTGATTAAATACACAAATATTAACAAGATTAATTTTTCTTCATTTTAGTTTTTCTGGCTATCTTTACAAATCCGCACGAGAATAAGGAGAGCTATAAATATTTCCATTATATATTTATGGTCCTGCCTTTATATCTGATGTACTTTGCCACCCTAACTGTACTCAGACGCGGCAAACCGGGTAATTGCGAAATTTTGGAAATGGGCTATGTTTGTAACATCAACCAAAATTGCTGCGGTAAAATTAATTCAATTCTAAGATACTAATAAGAAGTACTATTATTGCAATCTTGATATTTTCAGAAGAAAAAAAGGTCGTTATTTACCCTTACATAATTACCTTGATAGTTACTGCAATATTGTTTTTTCTGCTCCTCCTGCTGGCATCCAAAATTCGTCCTTTGAGATATGCGATCAAGTTTGGTTTGGATGCGATTCACTCGAGTTATTAACTATTTAACATATTTTACTCTGTTTCGCAGGCGAGATCCTACGGCTTGTGCGACACGGGACGTTGCTGATGATGTGAAAAATGCGAGCAAGGAAGTCGATGAGGTTCTTAAAGATCAAAATAAACTAAATGCTCACAGTTTAGTGTGTAGCCGTGCCACAAAAAAATATCGTCGCCTGGTGGCAGTCAATTGCGTGTCCCTCAAGATCAGTCCGTCAGTTTGTGTTTTGAATCTATGCTGAGAACTATTCAGTTATATTGATTGAATTCCCGCAGATATGAATGCTTCGGTTTGCTGGGACTGAACGGTGCAGGCAAGACGAGCACCATAGACATGATTGTGGGAAATCATATGATATCCCAGGGCGAAATCTACGTTAAGGGCTTCAGTGTTAAGAATCAGCTAAAACAATGTTACCAACATACCGGCTTCTGTTCGCAAAACAACACGATGCTCAGCTATATGACCGGTCGGCAGATGTTGCGATTCACCTGCCTGACCAGTGGCATGAAGAAAAATTTTATCAAAGTGATCATCGGCCATCTGGCTACGAGTTTTGTGCTGAGCAAACATTTAGATCAAAAGACAAAGCACTACAGCTCCGGTACCAAAAGGAAGCTCAACATCGCCATGGCCTTGCTGGCCCGCACCCTGGTCTGCCTTGATGAGCCGACCACGGGCGTGGATATTATCGCCAAGCAGGAAATCTGGCTGGTACTGAGTGATATGCGCGAATTGGGCAGATCTCTGTTTCTCACCTCACACAACATGCAGGAATGCGAGGCGCTCTGCTCCTGTCTCGCCATCCTGGTCAATGGCACCCTGCGCTGCTATGGTTCGGTGCAGCAACTGAAGAATCTCTATAACAAGGGCGTCTCAATCAAAATCCAATTGGCCACCAACGCGGAACTGGCACAACGCAGGTGAGCCGCCTGTTGAATACCCTAATAAAAACATACACTACCAATCTAATTACCTGTTTAGTTTTATATCCAATTGGACAGACAGTGGCAGCGCACGGAGTCGGAGATCATCGGTGTCTAAAGAAATTGGTAGGTTGCCTTAATGTTGCAGGCATTTATCTCTAAACTATTTAAATAAACAAATAAACATCCACATTATTTCAGACAGCGAAATCAACCGAATACCTGTGCCGGCTGAAGAATCTGGTAAGTAAAAGATATGCTAATAGATCTAAATACAATATGGAATTTATATAAACCGGTTAAAAATTAGTGCGTCCTAGACTGGCACAAAGGTGCTTGACTAGGTGATACTTTTAAGCCCTCTAAAAGTTCAACGGACAGAAGGAAGCATAGCGGACACCATAAAGTATTTATTTTCGACCTGAGTCGATCCAGCACTGTCCGCCTGTCCGGGATGAAGCTAGAGACATGATATTTTAAATATATATTCTCTTTTAGCATAATTTCGATAAAGAGAATCGAACCAAAGCAACGATAAAAATCTGTTTTAAAACTTGGTTTCTTAAGCATAGCCCGAAGATTTTAAAAACTGAATGCACCAAATTTAGTATGTAGATTTTTGAATATTATATTTTACTTTAAGGATACAATCAAATTTTACAAACCCGTCAGCTAAAATGCAGTATAAACAGATTTTGGGAAATGGGTGAAAACGATTTTAAAAAACAATTAATCCTTGGCTGCGACTGATTTACGCGAATCCACATACATTTCAAATTGAACTTGCCTCTGAGACGCACAGACGTTTCAGAGTCCAATAAAAAACGTTTATATCTCAAATGCTTCTTATAGAGCCACCTTTACGAAGCCCATCCATGTGGGTCAGCATAAGTGAAGAGGATCCCAACACCAAAGGTACACAGGCTACCTTAAAAAAAAGAAGAAAAAGACAAACCAAAATAATAACGCCGTCGAAAGAAGCTAAATCGCCATCGCTCAGCCCCGCCGAATCGGCAAGAAGGACGACAATCATTCCACGAGTAACAATTACGTCGGTATCACCAAAATCGTCCATGTCGTCTAGGCGAACAGAATCATGGAGGTTGGGCTCAGAAAACTATAGTTATAGCGATGCCGAAGAATATTATGGATTATTCAAAAATTTGGTGGCAAAGTTTAAAGAGGATTTTCCCAACAGCTATGTATCGTAGGTATTTTGTGTGTGTGTGTGTGTGTGTATGTGTGCGTTCGTATAGCATAAATGAAACATTTGATCCCTCGGCAACTACAGGGAAAAATACGTTTATCGTGGCATGGTGACTATTGTAATACCCGACAACGAACTGAAATATTCCATGCTATTTACGTATATGGAACAGCACCGAAACGCACTGCAAATAAAACACTTTGCAATCAGCCAGACCTCGCTTGAGGATATCTTTATGGAGTTTGCGCATCAACAGGAGGCAGAATAAGACATACAGATCTATGGTGCAAGACAAAACAAAATTATCCAATGATCAAACCTCTTTTGTGTGGTTGTAAAAACAAAATAGAATATTGTTAAACTCGTTGCCCGCTTCACACGTACATGAACGCAAGTTCTCATGAGATTGCCAAACTTACATTCATGTACGTTTGATGGTGAATAATGATAAACAATCATTGAAAAAAAAAAACAAATAAAAAAAATGTTTCGAGAGTTAAAAACCCAAGTCACTTATTACCAAAAACGACTGTGAATTATTTATGTTGGTTAAGTTGCTATTGGACATGGTTTTTTATAGGCATTAATAGAGTAGAAGTGTAAAAAACAGACTTCGACTTTGGCCTCTGATTTCGTGTTTTTGTGGTTTCTTCTTTCACTTAATAAATATGTATGTCAACAGAGTTTTTCGGTACTTTGAACTTGTGGTACGAAAAAACTTTCCACACACATATTCACACTACCTCTGCATGTTTGTATGTAAATCGAGGCAAGCTCAATTAGAAGTCAATTTATAGATATTTTTTTGTTGTTTATAGACAAAACAATTCTTTTGTTAACCTTTGCTCGCTGCAATTTCGAGCAATTTGTGCTTGGAGACGGAACTTTGCACCCGATATGACGTTAGAACTCGTCAGATATACAAAGCGAATCAAATAAGTGGAACTCATGTGTCCATTCATTTTTTTCAGACAAATCATAGAGAAAAACCTCGCGCAACCTTGCTGATTGCGCAAAATTAGCTTATCAGCTTTTGGTATAAATATATATATGTATATTGTACATATCTGTACGTAAGTTCAGTGCTACTTGATATTGTATTAGTTTAAAACACTTGACCGGTTTCCAATAGTAAAATTTACTTTCAAAATGCAACAATTATTTAATGGTCAGCAAATGTTGCTTTACATGTAAGTACAATACAATAAAAATACAGTATATCTCTTGATTACTTTAATTAAATATTGTTCATCGATTTGCTACGATTTGCACACACACGGGGCAATTGTATATATGTGTGTACATATGCATTCAGGTTTGTGTATCAATATTTTGCCAGCAATGCGCAATTTGGTAAATTTTGTTATAATATTACCATAAATGTGTAACGTTGTATAATACAATTTGAATTTGATGAAAACAACACATTGCTCTAATATGACTTATATAAAACTAAAACAAATTAACTAAATTGTTGACTATCCCTTACATTAGAGACTCTTGGCTGTCAGTCTCTAATGCAATACCATATAGTTATTGTCTAATCCATGAGTCTATTATAATGGCATTAGTAAAGCTATTAACTTCACTGAATATCAGCTAGGTATGCCGAGGAGGTATATTTAACACATCCTAGTTAACAATTATTATATAGTTTTAAGCACTTGCAAAATGGAAGACGTTGTTTAGGTGCCTTTAGCAGTTGTTATAGTTATGGTTAGTGTTATGCGCAGGTATACAAATAGGTCACATTGTTATATGCAAGTTTTAGGTACGACAACTGCTAAAACAGCTGCATGTTTTAAAGTTTTTTGGTAAGTAAAGCCCACAGTTAATGGTATTCTACACTATGTCATTTAACAATATAAATAAATTAGATTTCACTTATTATATAGCTACAGCTGCCTGTGTTAATTTCGTTAGCGATTCGTCTTGGTCCGCCTGCGCCTGTTTCTCTAACTGTTGGCGCCTCCAGCGTCGGGAAAGCACCGGCGCGAATAAATCATAATCCAGCTGCTTGTGATACTTATCTAAATATATCTGAGAGTTGTCCGCACAGTTGAAGTACGCCAGTGTCAGGCTGGCACAGTAGCCGACGCCTAGCGTAATTAAGAAGCCGATCACACAGTACCACAGGTAGGATAAACGATACAGCCAAAAGTAATCCACCTGTTGCACCAGCGCCTGCGCCACCTGAGTAACATTCGCCGACTCACAGCCGGTGGTATTGAGGGGTAACGGTGTTGTCGGCGGCTTTGGACCACCAAAGCCAATCCAGAAGGAAAAGATCAGGCCAAGCATAAAGCCCAACAGGACCCCGCGCTGATTAGAGCGCATAGTGCAAACCCCAAGCGTAAAGATGCCCAACAACGGGCCACCTACAACGCCAAAGATAGTCAAAGAGGCCTGCAGCACGCCGCCCAGTGAGCCAGCGACGAAAGCCAACAGTATACAGAATAATCCATAAATGCAGGCAACAATTTTGGTGGGTAGCGTTGACTTGGAGTCGAGTAGCGTACGCTTGAAAATCGCCTTGTACAATGGCTTGAGGTAGTCCTCCAGTGTAACAGCCGAGAGCGATGTGACTGCCGAGGATATGGTCGATAGACTAGCGGAGAAAAGGCCCGAAACAAACAGACCACACAGTCCTGGATACTGGCCTGCAGCAAGAGCAATACAATATAATTGTTTCATGGTTTAACAAATTCGATTTCCTCACCCATGGTATCCACAGCAAAAAGCGGCATTAGCTGATCTGGTGCTTTAATGCGTCCACTGAGCTTGGGATCGCAATCACGATAATAATAAAATATGGCCAAGCCGCTAAAGATGGTGCTAAAGCTAAGCATGCCCAGGATGGGCAGATTCCACCAAAGTGCCGATTGTGCGCTCTTTAAATTGTGCACGCTTAGCAGACGCTGCACCTGCGTTTGATTAACTCCATACAACGACAGATATGTGACCATTCCGCCGATTAACAATGACCACCAGGTGTGACGCACGGTAGGATCTGCCGAAAATTCAAAAAACTGCACACGTCCACGCTCCTTCGCCACATCCCAGATGGCACCTAGGCCACCAGCCTTGCTGGCTGAAACTCCAATGACAGCAAAAATGGCGGCAAACATGAGAAACGACTGAAAGACATCCGTGATGAGCACAGCCTTGAGGCCACCCAGTGTTGAGTAAAATGTGCAGACGAGACCTAGGACAAGTATAGCAGTAACTCTTGGTATGCCGGCGACTGCCTCCAGCGCCAAGGCGGGCGCATAGAGAGCAATGCCCATGTAGAGCACCATTTGCAGGGTGAAGGCAATCGAGGCAGCCAGGCGTGTCGCAGGACCAAAGCGACGCTCCAGGTACTCATATACGCTGGTTATGCGCATACGATAAAAGACCGGGAGAAAAATGTAAGCGGCGATCGGTGTGCTCAATATATATGATATGTTTATAGCTCCGAATAGTGTTCCAAACTGATATGATTCACTGGAGACGCCCATCAGTGTAATGGCTGACATAAAACTAGCCATCAGGCTGAAGGACACTGGAAATGTAGTCATGCTCTGATCGGCCATCAGATACTCCTGTGTGGTCTTTTGTTTGCCGCCAGTATACCGATAGTATATGCCAATCAGTGCCGAAATTGCCAAAATGACCCCCAGCACCAGTGTATCCCACTCATCAAATGTTCCTAGTTCCATTCTGTTGGTGTTATTCAATTGTTTCAATTTAATTGATTTTTCACAGTGGGTACACTTCTCACTTTTTTTTGTAACAGCGTATTGACCTTTTTACTGGCTCAATGGCTTTTGCAAATAAAATATGTAAAATTCACAAACATATGTACATACACATATGCATAACAAAAATAACACGCGATTATAAACAAATAACCAAACGCAACGCGGACCATCCGCAGCTACAACCGCAAAGCTCAGCCGTTGAATAACAACTGATTCACTAAAACTCGACGGCGTTGCCACCTGTTGGCACAGTTGACAGCTTGTATGCTTAGGCAAGGTATGCAGGGCGTAGCTGTTCCTAGCAAAATGTTATTCTTTTGTTAAATAAATAAAAAAAAATGTTCACGAGTTTAACATTTTATATTTTTACTTATATACAATTAATACTGTTATGAAGAATATGAAAAATGATATTTTCACTGTCGTGAGCAACAAGCAAACCATATGCTTCTTTAATTTTTAATGGAATAACCATGGCGGAGAGATAGTTAAAGCAATTAGTTGTTACTCATACATACATAATAGAATATGTAAACTTTTTAAAATCCCAAAACAGCAGATCTTATTATGATGCGTGATTGGACTACAAAGATAAGCAACTAGTTATTTTTTTTTCACAATTGTCTTATTACTACATATATCTTTACATGTGTTATATGCACTTCTATTTGTTGACCAGAAATTAAGCCGATTTCAGTTAGGAATTAGGATTTTAATTGGAGGCCGCAAGTGCCCTGGTGACGCCGTTTATCGCGACGTTTGCATTCATCGCTGCAGTATGAGGCGTTGAAGCAGCAATCGAATTCCGCTTCCTCTAGGCAATGCTGACACCATCTCTTGCGTTTCACTGATTTTAGCTCCTCTTTCATAATCTCGAGCTCAGCCTTGTTTCTTGTCAGTTCTTCATTCAAGAACAAAACTTCTTGCACCAATTCACGATAACCGGCAAAAGGTCCTGCCGTGTCCATGTGCGCTGTGATTTGTTGCAGTAGTTCCGGTCTAGAAGTCATGGAGCAACGACGTGACGGTTGCAAGCGCTTTGGAGTTGCTGCCGTTGCAGTGGCCGCAATTTTGCGCTTCTTAGCGGATGCTGGCGTGACAGCACGTGGTCGTTTAACGGAGGCGTTTACTTCAGCCGCCTCCATGCAATGGGGTAGTGCACGGTTAATGAGATCTTCAGCATCACGAGGATCGGCATAAAAGTTAAACAAATACATAGGTTGATGTAGTAACATCATATGACACCTGAGTTCACGTAGTGCAGCGTTGAATGTCCGCGAATTTTTCCCCTTGGTGCTAAGTTGCGAAATGTCCGTATCTATAGGTAGAATATCACGCGCCGAGACGAGTGCACGAGAGTGCGATCCACCGAAAAAGCGCACATCATATATGTTGCTTTTTCTGGTCATCACGCGTATAACCTGGTGAGGAATTAGACGTACAAATTGAACATATAATTTGTTTTGTTGCTATTCGTGCTCACCTTGGCCGGCCAGTGAGGAGAGCCATATTGTTTGGCATAAACCAGCTCGTGGCGCTGTGTACAGGGCTTGGCAAACCAAAATGTGCAGCTATTTGACTCGTTGGAATGCCGATAGCAATCCGAGCACCGACGGATTTCACGAATATCGTGCGTGATGTCACGCAGCAGCCACTTGGTGGCATTGTATTCCTCGCACTTGGTGCCAAAAAATATGCCAATGTTGTGCTGCAAGTCGAGCAGGTCGATGAGAAATTCGGACAAGTGCTTGTACTTCTTAATCTCAATGCTGTGGGAAATGTCCGAGATGCCAAGTGTATCGTTTTTAAAAAGAGCGCTCTTGACAAGTGCCGAATCACGTTCGGTCCAATGCTTTGCCATGTACTTGCGCACATCCTTTTTTAACCAGCTGTGGTACGTTTGCCACGAGTAGTCTAGCAGACAGTTCAGTTCCTCGATGGATACGTGTGGTGGATTTAACAGATCGGAAAGCTTAAGCAGGCGGCAGGGTGTACACAGTTCTAGTTCGTTGTTGGCCTCGGGCGCCTCCTCGCTTTTGATAAGTGTGCTGCGACGCTTGCGCTGACGCGCTGGCTGCTCACTAACAAAGAAGACATCATCAGAACTGTCCGCTTCACGTTTAAGCGGATCTTTGTTGCTGATGTTGCTGTTGTAATCAAGTTCATACGAAGCATTCGGTGCCACTGGTATAGTTAATGCCGGCGTGGCTGTGCCCTGCTGGGCTTCATCTTCCTCATCGCACGACTCCTCCATATCCGATTCGTTTAGCGGAAACCGATATGGTTGACCCTTGTCCGAGGGCACCGAATAGTTTGGACGATGTGGATTTTTACGCTGGCAGGTCGCATGAAAGCTTCGCACACAGAAGAGACATTTTTTGAGTGGCTCCGTGCCCGGCAAGTGACACTCGAAGCAATAGGGATCAGTTTTTAGAGATTTTTGTAGCTCGCTTATCTTCTGAGCGAAACAGAGCGAGATTCGTTTGCCCTTGGCACGCGCCGCTTTTGCCTTTGGCACTAAAATACCCATCCTGATGGCATCTTCGACTGCTTGAGATGCCTCATCTAATTACGCATAAGACATAAACATTGAAACACAAACACAATCGTATTTCAAAACACAAGCACTTCGTACGTACCGTCAGACATGAACGACAGCAAACAACGTTCCAGAATTTTATTGGACATGTATGCACCATTTTTAAGTTTATGCATCCAATTTGGCACAACACCGGGTGGAATGCTGCTAACCATCTTCTTGACTTTGTCAATAAAGTTATTGTTTGCAAGAAATATGGCCTAGTAATTGTTTTTACCAAATACTGCGAACAGAGTTGCCAGATAGTCGCAAATTAGTTGCGATTTGGCAACACTCACAATATGGCCACACTGCTGGCAACATTCGTTATTGTGATGTTATACTTTAACAATAGATAACAAAAATAAAATTCAATTGAGTCATTTGGCCTACCATTTGTTTCAAAAATGTATGGTAGGTTATGCCCTTGCAAACGTCAAAATTGGTTGTTGTAAAACATTAAAATGTAAAAAGTAAAGGTCTGGCAGCGCTGCGTGTCGACTGACCAAATGGGTTAGTGTGGGTAAGTTTAACAATAACAGCACCTGCAACGGCAACGGAAGCAATACAAGCCCATGGCCATTGTCGAACCGTCTAAAAATAATTGCATTAATCTTATTTCGGTAATTTAATAAGAACACACTGGTAAGCGCTTAGAATTGCATATTCTGCCTCTGTCTCCTTCGGATGCATTGGCGCGGAATACGGCTACCACTGGATATGGTGAACTCATCATCGTCACCAGCGCTAGCTTACCCTGACTCTGACGTATTTAGTTGTCTAACCAGTGTTATTCATTGCTAATTAGTGAGAGCAGCGTAAAATGACTGCGTCGACATCAGTGATAGCCGACCTGTGCATATATCTATTAACCTGGAATGTTGGTACGCACTCGCCCAGGGACCTGCCGCTGGAATCGCTCCTGGCGCTGAATGGCACCACCAACTGTCCGGACAATCAGCTACCCGACATATATGTGATTGGCATGCAGGAGGTGAGCACAAAGCAGGTGCTCAACATATTTCAGGACGATCCCTGGATACTAAAATTTGCCAGCGCGCTAAGCGCACACCAGTATGTGAGGGTGCAGTCGAAGCAGCTGCAGGGCATACTCATTACAATGTTTGCACAGCACAAGCACATACCGCACATGAAGGACATCGAGACGGAGGAGACGCGGACTGGCCTGGGTGGCCTATGGGGAAATAAGGGAGCCGTCAGCATACGACTCAGTCTATACGGCACTGGCGCAGTTTTTGTTTGCTCCCACTTGGCGGCACACGATAATAAACTAAATGAGCGCATCGAAGATTATCACCAAATAGTAGACAATCACAAGTACCATGTGAGCGGCTATCAACGCATCTTTGATCATGATTTTGTATTCTGGCTTGGCGATTTGAACTTCCGATTGGCAGGAGATATGTCCGCCTGGGATGTACGCACTGCCGTGGAACATGGACGCTACGATGAGCTGCTGAAGTTAGACCAGCTGGTGTTGATGCGCGAGACGGGCAATGCTTTCAGTTTGTTGGAGGAGCAACTGCCCACATTTGCGCCCACCTTCAAGTTCATCGAGGGCAGCAACGAGTACGACATCAAGCGGCGCCCGGCTTGGTGTGACCGTATACTGCATCGCGTGCAGGCAACTAGTTATCCAGCCATTACGCTAAGTGCCCAACAATTGTCTTATCAGTCCAACATGGAATATACGCTCTCTGACCACAAGCCCGTTTCGGCGACCTTTAGCTATAAAATCGAGGCAAACAATTTGACCTACACCGACGAGGAGCTGCACGAGATGACGCATGGTGCGGCCAGCACAGTATCAAATGTTAGTGTGCTTGGTTTTATCACTATTATAGTTTTTTTTAATGCTGTGTTTCAATTTTGATTTGCCTCTTTTCGCTTCTTTTGTAGCCATTTAATGCCGAACTAGAAAGTTTCCAGTGATAAATGAAACCAAGTGTTCCCGTCAAAAGCAAGCAAACAATCTCATTTTATACATATCTGACTCAGACTTCAAATTGAAAACTTATGTAAGCAAATACTCGAAATATAACACAGGAATATGAGTACAATTTAATTAATACTTAAACATATTTTGAGAACGAGTCTCAGATAGCAAGTGTTAAGCTAACCACTCAATGAATAACTCCATAGTGCAATTATATACATACATCAATTTATACAATCATAGTATATTAATACATACAACATACATATTATAGCGACTGCTTAATTTGTCACATATCACATTTAAGTTCAATCAATAGAGACTTCCTTTTAAGCTTAGCAAAGACATCGAGCGTGAAGGGTAAATTGTTAAAGTTCAAAAGTTGTTTATTAAATAAAGCAATATCTATTTTTCTATAAAATTTAACAAATTGTAATCAATCTCTTAACATAAAAACTTTCAGGAATATTAATTAATACTATCTATAAATATTTAGTAGCTATCAGATACGTGCGAAACGAGAGCCCCTTGCATTAAACTGCAAATGTTTGCATGTTCTAATATCCTATAGTTAATGAATATAATTTTTTTAAATTAAAAATAAACGGGGGTAATATGAGGTCATATACTTGTTATTATTGAGCCCACATTGCATAATGAACTGCTTTATATTTAAAATATATGTATATTATCTGTGTATATAAAAAAACTCCCGATATTATAAAATGCCGGTTCACTTCAGGGCAACGTCAGCGGAAAAGAGGGTTTAATTATTATTTTAAATTGATTTCATTAAATAATTAAATATTGTGTTAATAAAAAGTATTTTAAAAAGCCACAGAGCTCTCGTTTTAAACGATACTATATTACAATATCTAGGGACCTACCCTTAACGCCCCCTCTGAAATGGTAAAGGCGAATGGCAACCAACCTATCTCAAAAAAACAAGTCCGTAATTTTTAGAACACACTTCAAATTTACTAATTATCGTTTTTAGATAGATTGTAAATAACTAAATAACAAAAAAAAAAAAACTCGGATAGTATACAGTATATGATTTTATAACATCAGTAATGCGCGCACCTATACTATGAGACATTTCTATTGTGGATTCCAAATTTCGGACGCACCTTATCGGTTATCTTAGCAACAAGTGTTTAAGGTAGCTTTGAGCGATGCGTCGGCACATATCAGTTATGACTATCGACTGTTGAAAGCGAACAGCAGACAAAGGGCAATATTTGATAGAAGGCTGATGAAACCAGTTGCTTTTGGTGATTTTTTTATTTGTTGTTGTTGTTTTTTTTTTGCTTTGCAAGTTTAAACAAAAAGCTGGTGTCAATTGGTGGGCGCCTGGTAGCGTTGTTCTCGTAACAGATAGCGGTAGAAATTTAATGGCTTTGCAGTTGCCGCCGATCAACTGTTTGGGGGGGTTTTTCGTTCTTTCATTTCAGTGATTGTATTAGATAGTTACTGGCTGTAGAACTTTGGAATATGGAGGATGGTTTAACGAGTTGGCATATCTGATTTGTATTGAACACGTGCCGAGCAAACACAATTATGGCTAATACGTGTTTAGAAAATTGTGCAATTAGTTTTTTTAACATCTAGTATAAGCGTAATAATTTGATTTTTAAGTTTAGTTTTTGTCGATAACAGCACAAGGGAAAAAGCCCCCTAGCCGTTAATTAATGAACTAATATATAAATCATTTAATAACATTGCTGCAAAGATAACAAATTGTCAACAGCAGAAGGTATAACAGCAAGTGCTTTTTAAAAAGGGGCCCGTTAGATGCAGAAAACACTCCCTAAGATAAAAAATAACAGCTTTTAAATTGTACCATTCCATAAATCATTCAATTCGCAATGTTTACACTTCAGCGGGAATCCATATCCATGCTATCGTTAGACCGATCGGTGATTTACCCGAGCTAGTATACACGCCAAAAAAGTATTTACATAAAATATTGTTTACCTAACGTCTTATTCGAAGGCAAAATTTGGATCATGCGCAACCCACGAGACAAGCACGCACAAACGTGAGAACCAACCTCGGAGTTTTCGCCATATCGGGAGAAGACTCGCGAACAGAAATCGAAAGCTCTCCAGCAATGAGATTGTGAGCTCGTGTGTGTGTGTGTGTGTGTGTGTGAAATGCGCAAATATTGTTGTTTATAAACAAACTGGTTTATTCAAGTAGGAAATCATTGCCAGCTGTTTGTGAAAATTTTACGCCTGGCAACCAATGAAAGGAAATATGTTTAAAGTTGAAACAACAAAATTGCTGAATTGCAAAGACTCTTTCTGCGCACAAATCCACATAAGCATATTAAATTTTTACGATGTCGATCGAACTATATAGTATGCATTTGTATATACAGTATATGTTAGATAATTGAAATCGCGTTGTTATAATTTACGAGCGTTGCTGAAATTTACAAGTCAATATCAATTGCTGCTTAACACCGATAAGAAAATAAGTATTAAAAAAAAGCCCATATACATTGATACATACCCAAAAAATTGTTAAAGTTTTTCTGCTGAACCGAGTCGGTTCAAGTCCGCAATGCCAAATAAGTTTTTAATATGAACTTAGCCGTAAACCGAAGACCAAACTAAACTTCTAAAAATTAAGAAACTTTTGTGGGAGACTTAGCCCAAAAGTATAAATAACTCTTGTTAACACTCATATTTAAAGGAAACTCTGACTGACTTCTCTGGGCCAACAGCTAATGGCACTATTTCATGGCCCTTTGCGTATCAGAGACAAACACGATTGCGAATCGAGTGAATCGCGGCAGAGAATTAGGATTGTCACCCCAATTAGCTGCCGTCTGGCTATCGCACTCCGGAATAGCAAAAATAAAAAGCCCCGCCGTTGCAGCCGGACGTCTGGGCTCGTATAAAAGCCGACTCCAAGGGGCGATACCGTTCACAGCACAGCCAAAGAGCGGCCAGACAACAGCACATCCGAGCGCAAAGCAGCGTTAGGAAAACACAACAAAAAAAAGCACCGCGACTGAGGCCCGCGTCTGAGGGAGTCCCCCAACAGAGGCGATACGTCATACGTTAAAAATTTGGCAGCAACAACAACAATTGGATACACACACACACACACAAAGGGGCACAGACAACTAGATGAAGCAACAAGCAGTCAAATCTATTAAGAGACCATCAACGAAGATATACGGCATAGTGACTAAATCGTAGCACAAATTTGGCGATCGGTGATTTTTTTTTGTGTCGCGATTTTGGCAGTGGAAAGATTCTGATTCTCACACACAAAAACACACCATGGGCGTGAGAGTAATCGAGGCAGATTCGGCGAGCGATTCGTATGACGATGAGGAATGCTCGGCATGTAAAACAAGCCACAAAAATAAAACAAGTAATGCGAAGCGCAGCACCACGGAGCCGAGCAACGTGCACTATGGGAGCAAGGATCTGGTTGGCAATTGCAAGGAGTATCGCATCGAGAACAATTCCCGAGATCTGCGCATCATTGGTAATGGGAATCGTGTGCGCATCGTCAACAACACGGGTAGTCTGCAGATCATTGGCAACTCGACCAGGCTAAAGATACAGCAGAACAGCGGCCACATCAAGTACACCGGCAACGACGGGCGAATTTATCTGGGTTGCGAGTCCAAGCAGCAGAATGTAGACTATATCGGCTGCAATGGACTGCTGAAGGTGGTCAAATCGCTGCAGCTGCAGGGCAGCAAGCGTAGCCGGGCGCAGCAGCTACCAAAAAGTCCGGCTCCGACAAACAAGGCTTATTCTTGCCCAGGCATCGAAATTGACAACAATCTGACCATTGTCAATGGCATCGCCGGCAATATTGTGATTAAGAATGCGATAAATGTGAGCATATGAGCTCTTTTTCTTAACTCTTTATCTCAAGTCCAAAGTTTAAGCTTATTAACTTGCCTGCTAGACTTACATATGGCCAGTACGAATGGTTCCTATTGTTATATATATATATAAGATAGTCATTAGCATTAGCTAAACTTTCTGACTGCTCAACATGATTGTCATCCAGGCACTGAAAAGTATTAACTATCACCTAATAATCACAATATCATCATATATATAATAATTATGTATTTATAATAGAATTTTACATGTATATATAGTAACAAATCCGCAATGAACAAAATGTTGATTCAAAAGCTGATCATTCTGTGAATGAACTCTGCATTTGATTATTAAAAATTGCATCATTTTAAATATACCCTTTGAAAATATTGATTTGTGACTTTACGAGGTTAAAAAACCCCCGTCTAGTGAGAAAAAAAAAACATGCGGGTAAATAACCACATGTTGCTTTCGCATTACATATAAGTAGAAATCACAATGACCCAACTTTAGTGGGTTTACTCTCAATTTTCTTAGAACTGAAGCCTTATTCACGTTTATAAGAGTTGCACAATGTCATATTGGCCACTGACATGACCCACTTTTGTTTATATACAAAAAATAAAAGTACCCCGTATATAAAAAGTTTCGACCGATGTGTTACCAGCTGATTAAATAAGCCATAACGTTCGTTTTTTACTAATTGCGCCCTTGTACGTTTGTTTAAAGTGTCAAAAAACTTTCGAGTGTCGCATTTAAATTTTTAGGGGGTTTTATATTCGCGAGCAGGTACATAAATAAAATAACAACAACAAATGATATATTGCTCGACACTTTTGTGTTAAAATCAATTGACTGATAAGAATAATGTTCAGTATTTGTGACTTGAAATCTGATAGGGCTGCAAGCACATAAAATTAAATGAAATGAAAGTACATATATAAACCAAGAGAACTATGTAGGAACTATGTGGCATTAAACTCCGTTGCTGATAAGATTTTGCTCATATGTTGGGAGCATAATGGCAGGGGATACGGTGAAACATATCCAGTTGAGATCAAAGCTTTTTGGTAAAAATGCTTCTCCCCGTCATCAGACTGTTCGAGCAAGGAAGTCGAGGAAGCCCCAGTCACAATAGACCGCTGCGGGCGCAGTGCCGCCCACTTTTTTTTTGTGAGACTCCCTGTACATTATAATAATGATAATAATAATAGATGAATTGGATAAGATAAGAACCCAAAAACAACTCATGATCCAGATTGCATAGAAACAATCAGACCTAAGCATGTACATCCATCGGCATGCCCATCCATCGGTCGGTGATGCTATTAGAAATTTGTGTTCTCTATCTAGGCTTTTAGCATTTAATTTTCATAATTGTATATATAATGTATTCAATAATTAGGAAGACACTCGTTTTGTCGACCACTAATAAATAAATAAATAAATAAAAATATATGTTTAGGCTGTTGCTTCTGATCAAAAATTTTCATATATGTATGTATATATTCTATGTGGTAAAATATGTCTTATTGTGTAGTATGTATGTATGTATGTATGCACTCATAAATTGAACATATCTACATATAAATTACATGATTTGCACATGCATATAATTATGCATATTTGTGTATATTTATGTGTGATCCAGTGCACTTACCTTATTATGTTTTAATGGTTGTCCAATTAAAGTCAAGCTTATAACAACTTATAAAGTTCTTATTACTAAAGCACACACTTATTCACAAAACCACAGTTTACCGCTTCTGTTAACATTCATTTTTCGTTAACATTGTTTACATTTAACACTGTGAATTGCTAAATTTTGGTGGTGGAGCGGAAACTATCGACGTCGATAAGTTATGTGTTTGGCGTCTCTTTTATTCGTTTCGTTGCTCATTTTGCGCTTGCTATGCGCACTGTTAATTGTAAGTGTGCCATGTTATGCTTACGTTCGGCAAATACGTTTGACGCTTAGCTCGCTAAAAAACAAACATTTTGCGACATTTAAAAAACAAAGTCATGTTTGGGCCCGCACAAACGACAACAAATCGTATGAACGATTTTGAGGTGGCATCGCCGCCCGATGACTCCGTCTCCGCGCTTGAGTTCAGTCCAAGCACATTGCAAGTGCCAAAGAATTTTCTCATTGCCGGCAGCTGGGACAACAGCGTGCGCTGTTGGGAGGTGGAACAAAATGGAGCCACAGTGCCAAAATCTATGAAAACAATGGGTGGACCAGTGCTCGATGTGTGCTGGTCAGATGACGGAACCAAAGTTTTTATGGCTTCCTGTGACAAACAGGTCAAGCTTTGGGATCTCGCCTCCGATCAGGTAATGCAAGTTGCTGCCCACGACGGACCAGTCAAGACTTGCCACATGGTAAAAGGACCAAATTATACATGCCTGATGACCGGCTCCTGGGACAAAACGCTCAAGGTATATACAAAAAATATGGACATATACCTCTTTGTACAAATTTTTTGATTTTCATAGTTTTGGGACACGCGCACACCAAATCCCATGATGGCCATTAATCTGCCTGAACGCTGCTATTGTGCAGATGTGGACTATCCCATGGCCGTGGTGGGCACTGCGGGTCGTGGCCTGATTATTTACTCGCTGGAAAACAGTCCCACCGAGTACAAGCGACAGGAGAGTCCGCTCAAGTATCAGCATCGCACCATATCGATATTTAAGGACAAGAAGAAGACGCCCACAGGTTATGCACTGGGCAGCATAGAGGGACGCGTGGCCATACAGTACGTGAACCCAGTAAATCCTAAGGATAACTTCACATTCAAGTGCCACCGCTCGACGGGTACCTCAGGCTTCCAAGATATCTATGCGGTAAACGACATTGCATTCCATCCCGTGCATGGAACGTTGGTCACAGTGGGATCGGACGGTACATTCAGTTTCTGGGACAAAGATGCACGAACCAAGCTTAAATCCAGTGAAGCCATGGACCAATCTATTACGAAATGCGGCTTCAATGCCAATGGCCAAATATTCGCATACGCTGTCGGGTACGACTGGTCCAAGGGACATGAGTACTTTAATCCGGCCAAAAAACCACAGATTTTCCTGCGCTCCTGCTATGACGAGCTAAAGCCGCGCGTCAACTGATCGGAAACGTGCTTTAGTTTTAGTCACGACATGTACTGCGAGTAATATCAATCATTAATTTGTATCGTATCATTAAATATCGAAGCGCATTCGCATTTGCATTTTTATTGAACTAAAACACTTAATTTAATGATGCTTCTTATCCTCGTGACCGTGTTCGCTGCCATGACCGTGTCCATGGCCACCCTGGCCCTTGCCAACACCGAGCGCATACTCCACCGCGATGGTGGCCAGAAATGCACAAAATCCAACGCCGAGGCCGCGGAACATAAAGGTGGTCAGGCGAGAGCGGTGTGTGCCGAATGCCTTCTTTTCATAGCGCCAGGCCTCGTTCCTACGTCAGCCAAAGTTTTTGTTGTTTTGATAAGAAGAGGGCGAAAATTGAAGTTCAACCACTCACCTCAGCCATGGATCATTCAAACCTTGTCGGGCAAGCGCCTCTTTCACTTGAAGCAATTGCGGTACATTCTCCACCTTATAAATTGATGGATGCGGCACCGTATAAGGTTCTCCGTGATGTCCACCCATTATTTATTTTCTGTAATGATAGTTAAAGTTGTTTTAATAATGCGAACTGGCGATTTAACAGATGTTAACCTAGCGCTGAAAATTACATAAGTGAGTTTTCGTTTTTAACGTTTTATGCCAGTTGAGATTGGGCAAATTCAAAAGAATATACTTAATAAGCACTACTTGTTTAAATTATTTAATAACTTCGCGCAAATTATCAGAAATAGCAAAGAATTAACTAATTTGTTGAAATACACACTCTTGTTGCCACAATATCAGCAATATGAACACAATGTTAGCAATATGTTAAATGTTATCGATATGTTGACTTAAAATGCACTAAAAATGACAAGTGCATAGCAGTTGTATATTTGTAAAATGTGGCAACGCATTGCACTCCGACGAATTAATGAAATTTCAATCTTTCGCGCTTAACAAAAATTAGATCAAGCTATGAAAGGATTTATCCATGCAGTACACAAAAAACCAGACTACCCACTTTTTTTTTTGACATATTTATTGATACTTTAAGTTTATTTTGCAATCAGTAGAACATTTGTAATTTTTAAACGTGCTTAAGTGAAAATATACATTGTTTATTTAAATATTTTTTTTAAGTTTTTGTTTTTCCATTTAATTTTCTAGTTATACAATAAGTAATAGTAATATACATGTATATGTTTTTAGGATTTATGTTAATAGCGTTTTTCTTGCTCCTCACACTTTTACAGATTAACTGTGATTGCTACAATAAGAAAGGAAACGATTTAAAGCAAAAGATGAAAAAAATTATAACAAAATACTGTTCTTACACGTTGTCATTTGCATTGTATGTATTGTAATAGCTAGGTATAAAAACGCATGACTTGCATGCTAATTAATTATTTAAAATACAATACATATATATTCATATAGTTGTTTTGCATATTCATTAAACATTTCTCACAAACCTAAAACAGCAAAGTCATTATTTTGCTAATAGAACAAAATTCGTTTCCATTGTGTTTTATATTATTTTTTCAGCGCTTGGAAATGCATAAGCTTGAACAATATATTAATATTTCAATTAATTAATCATTAAACTTGTAACTACGTTTGGAAGAAACATTTTCAAACACATTTCACAATTTCGTTTTCACATTGAAAAGGCTCTAAACAGCACTTATCGTATGGTGTTTAAAAAAGTTGGCATTATATATCCATAATATTTTATGTTGTTGTTTTTGTTTTTGTTTTATCTGGTTAATTTTGTTTGTTTTTACTTTTGTATTATTTTTCTTTTTGTTAAGCTGAATCACATTTCGAATTTCTAAATATTAGTTTCATAATTTAACACATGTTGCTACAACAATTTAGGTATTTTTTGAAATCAAATTGTACTTTTAACTTATTCTCCGTTCCCGACCGCGCACTGTGCGTGAGCTTCTTCGCTGGTTGATTTTAATGGGCCAACAGCTGCAGCAGTCGCAGCCACAGCAGCTAGCTAGATGCTCTCCTCGCCCAATATCTCGTTGAGCAGGCGATTGAGGCTGTCCAGGCCAGTGAGAAAGCCACCGTCGGGTCCATGGTGCACGGGCGCGGCGGCTGTAGGTGTTGGCAGCATACTGCCATTGCGCGGCACAAATGCTGTGTGGGCAAAATCAATAAGACGAACATCTACAAAGCAAGCCGAATCGTCTGTGGGCGGTGCCGACATATCCAGTGACTTGGAGCCATGCATTAGCGCAGAATTGCGAGTCGCAGCTGTGTTCGCCTTTGGCTCGCTGCTGGTGTTGTTGTCGCTGCCCTCAGCACTGGCTCGGCGCTCCAGGGAGTCTAGCAGAATGCCGCCGAGTAGTGAGTTGGAAATATTCTCACAACTGCACTGCAAACGCGACTTTGAAGGTGAGGAAACAGCAGAAACGGGCGTCGATGTTATGGTTGACTTTTTGGCCTCCCTGGGATCATCGTGAGCCGCATAGTGCTCGTCGTCGTCCTTGCAGCGTAGACGCTTAACGGCGCCCTTTACCGACTTCAGCGACGAAGCGCTGGAGGAGTTGGGTGACACCAGGGACTTGATGGTGGCGTTTGAGTTGCCAGCTGTGTGGGGCGGCGAGGTAGGCTCCAAGCTGCCAGCTGCAGCGGCCGCATCGAAGGACTGCTGCGACTTGTAGCGCTTGAACATTGCCTCTGTGGGTCCAATAATGCTGCTCTCGTAGTCCGAGCTGCCATCATCGGAGCTGTTGTTACCTGTGGATAAGTAAAAATGAATGGATGAGATTCCATGGATTAACACTAGAGGACTTACAAGTCTGGCGACCGCTAGCTACAGCCTTAATTTGCTCCGATAGGCCCGAGAAATCGTCACTGCTGTTGCTGCTGTAGTTCATCCAGGAGTCACCGGAATGTGGTGATGAGGTTGTCACACTGGGCAGCGCTGGCTCAGGATCCAGGAATACTGTCTCTTCGGAAATTGGAATGAATGCAGGTGTGGCGTTGCCATTGGCACTGCCCTTGCCACCAGTCGCTGTTTTGGCGGGCATCACACCGCAAGTGCGCGGTGGCGGCATGGCGGACAAATGCTTATGCTGTGCCTTGTTATGTACGTTATCCTCCTCCTCATCTTCCTCCTCGTCAGTTGTGGTGGTGGAGCTTGTGGCAGTCTGTTTGACGCCACGTGCTGCCGCCTCCGCAAAGCCACGTTTGTGCAGATGACGACGTGTGGCTAGATTCAGGCGCGAGTTGGAATCATTGGAGGCATCCGCATCATAATTGCAGCCATCGGCGCCTGTGCTGCTATTGGTGGCCGAAGCGTTGCCGCTATCAACAGCTGCCACCAACTGCAAATCCTCGTCAGTATCGTGCGGCTCCAGCTCGTCGCCCGCTTCGTGTCCTGCCTCATCGTCCTCAATGTCATCTTCGTCTATGCTGTTTTCTGGATGATAATCAAAGGCGCCTGACGGCTGCAGGGTAGCTGACTTAGGCGCCTCCAGCCAATCATCCAGATCCATGGAGGGCGGATGGGCCATAGGATTTTCCTCATAGCCTTCATACACGATCAGCAGGGAGCTGTCCGAAGAATAAACAATGTTAAAGTCATTTCTTTCGATGAAAGATAATATTATGTGCATACCAGGAATAGAATCTATAACTGG